TTTTTTTATGACTTTAAATTCTGATTTTTGCATATGACGGTATCATTGCTGAAACACTGAAAGATATAGAAATGTTGCACCCGCGGTTATGGGTCTACAATTAAGGCACTAATGACTTGATGCTTCATAAATGTTTTTCTACCAGCTGAATGGAGGGACTGTACCTTGACAGTAGCACATGCTGAACAATGACACCGGGAGTACGACGCAAAATACTTGATTACATTTGTCTCGGTGATGACTGATAAGCTGCTGGAGCCCACTTGCATTGTGTTGTTGACGTTTCGTAATTGAGCAAACTGTAAACAACAACATGTGATTCTCGTCATCTCATCCTCATTTATGACAGATCATTTAGCAGCAGGGCTGATGGAACAGACTGTCAACAAAACAGATCTTTCTGGTACGCTGCTGCATGTATTTATTATAAGAATAAAACAAATCGTGCAAACTCTATCGCTGATGTAAATCGAATTATTTCAGTGAATAACGGAAAAACAACATATCCATAAAGTAGCGTCTAAGTTTTTATCAAGAATGTTCTTAATGAGGATGTAATAATAGTTAATAGCTGAAATGACACCGTTTAAAGTTGTCTGCACTAAAAGCCGTCATGCACGTATCCAAATTCCATCGTCGAAATGATGTAATTTATTAGTTTTGTCCACGCCGCCATGGCAGATGCAGACTCTGTTTCGAAGAGGCTCATCCTCGTCAGCTGACTTCGAAGAACTTCTAACGCAGCGATACGGAAGTGTTGCCAGTCAGAGGCCGTGAACCCGCGTGTTGAATACAATCGATGAACGTGTCCTACCCGTAGGAGCAGCGATCTCATGGACTTGATCATGTCTTGGTGACCGCAGCAGCTGCCCTGCAGCATTTCGACGCAGTTGCCGATCACCTGTACTAAACGGAGGCTCTGCTGCCGGAAGCCCTTTGATTCTTTCCAGTTCTCCTGTTCACGTCCGTTTGCGTAAATGTACGGGAAGAACCTTTTGAGCTGCGGAGCGTTTTCGAACACGTTGAAGTATATGCGGCTACCGATTTCGAACAGCCATTCGAAATCGTCTCCTTTCCACATCAGATTCAGGTATTTGATGTCCTCTGGCGTGAACGTAGGAGATGGCGTCTCATTCGACTTTTCTGAATGAAACTTTATTCCGCCGCCGTTAAGGTTCTAAAAGGCACAAAATTTATAAAGGTTCAACAAATAAGCCAACCTTTCAATCTAACGAGCTCTATTTTCGACCAATTTTACACTTGCAAATCCTTATGCTTTCTCTTAGTGGTATTTCGAAGAAGCGCCTCGTTTAGGGGCGTAGAATAACGACTCAAACAGACACACTATGACGAAAAATTCGGTGTTGGAATTTCTGGTTTTCCTCAGGCTTGCGATGAAAAGTTACAGGAAATGTTCTCAAGCTTAATGTTTATATGCACGTATAAAAGAAGCCAATGAATGTAAAGATATATTTCGTTGTACAATGCAACAATGTTGTCTCTGCATAAAAATAACTGATTCGCACACAATGCCCGATTAAAGCTCTTGGCCGACTCTCTAACTGCGCCTCTGGCGAGTTTTGGTGAATTCTATCCAGATGCGTTTTAAAGGCGACCGTTGTCCTTGGCGTTTCTATTCTGATTGACTCAATCCGCCCGCTGAACGACCGTTTCCAACTGTACCTATCAACACGACTAAGCACTAGATCCGTGTACATTTCTTGCAGGTACAGAACTGAGGCGTACCGCAGGTCAGTCGTTCCATTCGTTGTCCAATTCTGTGATCGATTCAAAGAAGAACAGTTGTTTTACGAGAAGCTCTGGTCAGCCTCATTTCGACACACTTTCACTACTACTTCTGTTTCTTACTGTTCGTTCATAGTTATATATAGGGTTGTGGCAATTGACCGCGTGTCGTACGGTTCAATTAATTAAATCTAACTGACTGACCGACAAATCCATGAATACTTAATCACTGAGTGAATTCACTTCATCAGTAGTTGAATTGATCTGGTTTTATTAGGCATCATGTCGATGAATTTCACAAATTATCAGTATGAATATGCGTTGAAATGTATCTTGATTTGCTCACAGAAGATTTCTTGCCTGAACCGTAGGTTGAACGCATGATATAATAACTACCGCTTCTGATAGCCTTCTGAGAAAACGGTGCGTCGAATCAGACACTGCGGCAGTCGTCAGATGTAATCGATTACGGTGGTACTACAGAACCCTCAAATTCAGTTTATATCGTATGTAATCAAAACATAACCCTGAGATTCCGAAGTAACTAACTCAAGTGGTAGTTTTTCAACTTCTTAATAATTATATGAAGTTAATTCAAAATATCGGATTCACTCAACGAAAGCCCACCACCCCTTGCTTCTAAATGCCTTGGAGAATCATTTAGTCAGGCCATGGCTCCAAGGTATTGGAGCATCTGCATTGCATCGAATGCAGGGCTACGTCTTCGAGTTGTTAGTATGCGAGTATATCTGTGGTAGTACGTTTCTGCACTATTCAAGATGCCACTCCGGCGGTCCCTTTCATCCCCGTGGATCGCCACCCTTTGACCAGGGAAAAAGTCGCGCTGGTAACAGCCTGAGGATGTACCAGATATTCCCAGGCGTCCGCATTTCAGTGTAACTTATAGACAGCAACACGGTCAGGGAAAATATGACCAGAATTGTCAAAACTGATTTGCCAACTGCAAATGACCGAGAAGAAACCATCTGTAGCTAACTACTGGTTGGTCAGCTGGGGCGCTAACCAGGTAAAAACTATCCAATTCTGGAAACTGATCGTCTCCTTTAGAGCAATGAACATTATATAACAGACCAGCTCTATATACTGGATGTTGTCCACGAAATGTGTGGGTATATCCGTGAGCTTCCACTAACCTCATGTTATCTAACTGCAGTGTGACACCAGCACTAGAGATAAACAAACAAACAAAACATAACTGTCATGTTAGAGATCAACCGCTGCAAATGACAATCTTTAGCGA